GAGATAGTAAAAAACCATGAAAATGCGTTGATGACGATAAACTACACAAAAAGTATAAAATTCCGAATTGTTATTAATACTAAGCCAAACAATTGTCATAATTAATTGGGATATTAATATGCTATACTCAATAATTAGAAAATTAATTTAATAATTAGAATAATTTATAATTATTAAATATAGCATATTAATAGCCCAATTAATTATGGCAATCATTTGGCTTAGTCTCAATACATGGGGTATTGGGAAGTTGATATTATTTACTATAAATTAATTCAAACCAAAACAAACATTCACAAAACTTTTCAATAGTTGGAGAACTTAAATTTTAACTCTCCACAAAAACTGATAAAGTAAAGCAGAAACTTGATTAATACCAACAAAAGAAAATTCTTACTATCTAAATTACCTAACTGTCATACCAAAAATTGTCAGAAAATCCTTTTTGTCGCTTGCTCTTGGAAGCTTCACCCCATCACATTCATTGTCACTGGGGATCTTACACACCTTGGTGTGATGTCACAACTAGCTATGCCACTCTAACTCATTTACATACTTAAGCACTAACAATTATTCTTTCTTTGCAATCTTTTAATTATATTAGTCTTTCCAATCTTTCCAAAGAAATTCTCTTGGGGGGTTTTTAAAATCAATAACAAAAGGATTAAGAGACAATTCTTTAACTCTACTTGGAGATTGCATAATCCGAGATGCCTTATTAGATTAGCAACATTGGCATTATGAGTGTAAGTCATGTGATTAGTAAGAATTTTTTGTATTTTAGAATTTTGTTGGGGTGGTGTGAGTTTTTGTCCTGTAAACGAAATAAAATGTTCCCAAAATAAATAGTAACAATGACTAAATAAAAGCCCCAAAAACAAAAGATAATGTTTGGACTTGACTCCTTGAAGTGCATAAAGGATTTTTCACATTTTATAAGCTACTCTTGCTGACTTTTAGACAAAGGAAAAACTGTCTGATGAGTTTTTGAGTAGATAGCTAGTCCACATTAGCTTTTAAATTTCTTTTTAAACATACATAATCCATGGTATGGATAGACATAATTTTGTCTAGATAGATAAAATTATGGGAAATATTTACATGTACAGTACCTTCTGCAGTGTATCTAACTTTGAATATGATTTTCAGTAGTTATATCAGAGACAGTAGTAATCTATTGATATTTTATAAAATCAATAGACATCTCAAATTATATCTTTTTTAGCAAGATGTTATAAAATTATATATTATTTTCCAAAGTATACTGAAATTTATTTTTCAATATTGAAACAGCAAATTATTAATTCTAAAATGAGTAACTACTGCAGACATGCAGTAAGTTTTTGATAAAAATCTGTATTGAATATAATCACAGTAGTTTTTATTCAACAAATTATTTGAATGAATTAGAGGAATATATTTAAAAACATAACTGATTATGTTTACACTTCATGCAATTATCTGATGCTACAGTTATGTTTACAACTATTGTAATTATTATTATAATTTAAAGAATGATAAATGAATTCTTTAATACAATAATAATTAATTATGCAATATAATGATTATTAGGATATCAGATTTGTCAAATTTATTTATATATAATTCATGAAATTGCCATTGCTCTCTCCATTTGAATAAAAACTTACAATGAATTTATTTAGTATACATAAATTTCTATGATGAAATAAAATCAATTAAGTTGGAAACTAACAATTATGAAATCCAAAAATCAATGTTTAGATCAGAATTTTTCTTGTGATATTTCAGGTAAGAGTTCAAGAAGTCATGACAAAGGGGTATAAAGTTTTAATATTCCTTCCATTTGTTTTAATTTATTATATTTGTATTTTAATAATTAATAAAACTATTTAAAAATTACTATAATTGTATCAATTTTAATTAAAATATATTTCAGGAACTTTGCTAACAGTTGGAATCATCATTCTCAGTGGAGTATTGTTTACCATTGGAGTTGTTACTGCTGGATTTACAACATGTATGGCAATTATCTGGTTTGTTTTCAGAAAATTGCACAGATTGTTTTCTGGGAAAAAAATGGAATCAAACAGATCCCAGAAGACAATAGAATTATGGGAAAATCATTTTTAAAATCTGATTATGATTGCTTTAAATCAGGGAGTTATATTTGATCATAATGAAATTTGGTTTTTCCTAAGATTTGATTGTATGAAAATATTTACTATTTTTAGAAAATGTATTCATTTTATTTGTTATAATGCACATTAATTGATATATATTTATTGTTACAAATATGTACATAAAATTATTATTGAAGTATTTAATTTTTTTAAATATAATTTGTTTATTTAAAAAATCTAGATATTTATCTAAATTTAAAGTTTAATACAAAACAAGAACAACAGTCAGTTTACTATCATTAAAATTTACAGTTTATTAAAATACGTATGTGAAAGTTGTTTTGGTAAATTCAGTGTTATCTTTATTTTTAAATGCATATGAAAATATAGATTATGAAAAACCTGATAACATCTGGAATTTTTTTTTTATAAAATATAAAATAAACAGGTGTTGTACTAGTAGAGAAATTTTGGAAATTAAAAATAATTTATCTAAAATGTAATATTAGTAATGAAATTAATTTAAATTGCAGTCCACAAATATATAAGCAAATTTGGTAAATAAATCAGTAAAAAATAATTTTTCTTCATTATGCTATTTCTATTAGTCACTTACTTATATCACAGTTTTATCATACTAATTTTATTATCCATATTACTTCACAATTTCTATTTACATGGCACTTTCATTCATTCATCTATCAACATTAAAAATTGCTTCTAGATGATATTATTTCTTACTAATCTTTCTTTACATTTGTACATAAACTGAAGAAGGTACCAAATAATCCGAAACATTTTTCACAATCATTTTAATGATAGTATATATATATTATTGATATATGTTCAGAATTGTTTATTTAATATATAGATTATTTACATATGTTTATATATATATATATATTGTTTTTGTTTATTTTTTTGTTATATTTTGTTTGTTTTTAGAAATGTAAGCAATATAAAAGATACTCAAAATCATAATGACTAATAAAAAATTTATAAGTAATATTTGAAAATCTTTTATTATATCAAATTTAAACATACACAAATATTACTAGCATATATTTGATTATATAATCATTAATAGCAAAATACAATATATTAGAAAATAGATAACTTTGTAAATGAATAGTAAAATTTTATTTAGTCAAAGAATTTTTATTTAAAATTTAAAAAAAAAAAAAACCACTAGAAATGATCTATCAAAAATGAAATAAAATAATTTACACTTCATGCCAACTTTTGAATATATAATAACTACGCTTAAGTGTTGTGGCATTACCAATATCAACTTTTAGTGTATGAAAATGTTCGCTAGTACTTTCAGTAGCATAAACTTACTGTCATCAGGCGAATATCAAATACAACAGCTATGAAAAAAAAGTGATTGACCAAAATTATCAGTCACTCTGGGCCCAAACAAAATTACTGAAATGTGGTGCAATAATTGGAAAGAATTATATGGGAGAGCCTCTACATAACAGCTATAACACCCTGCAACACCCCAACACTTAAAATCCCACAATTATGGGTTACATTATTCAAACAATTCAATCAACAGTTTTAATTCCTTTTTTGCATAAACGGGTTTGCTTTTGCTATTGCACACTATGTAAATCTTGGGAAATTACACCACTTGTTATTACTGTATATTTTTAGAACATCGTTTTTATTCAAATTGATATTATATTCCATCCACGTGCTATATTTAATTTCAAATATTGTTCAAAAATGTAAAATTCGATAGCTATTGTATTCAGTAGTCACCTGATAATGGTAACTTTATGCTACTGAAAGTACTAACGAACATTTTCATATGCTAAAAGTTGATATTGGTAACGCCACAACACTTAAGTGTAGTTATTATACCATCAAAAATGCAATTATATCTTTGAACTTACCAAAATTCATTATTATTTTTAAAGCCAGAAAGTTATATTAATATACTTTATAATTGTCTCATTTACTATATAAATCATTACTGACACAAGTTAGAACCTGAAAGTTAAAGCCAAACTGCTGAATTATCAGGCTAAAATATGACTATGTAATTAATTAAATACTAAATAATATGTGTTAGAGCATGATAATTTGGCAATTCATTTAACTATAAATTGGGTTTTTGAGTAGATGTTTACACACACACACACACACACACACACACACACAAGGACCTGAAAGTTTTAACATTATATTTACTTCACTTGCCAAGATTCTTGATTCATTTCTAAAAACTTTTGACTCTTTATCCATTTATTTTAGATCATTTTGTATTATTTTTTAATTTTGGGTTAATTATAACAATAATAATGGATTAGTTTAAATACTTCAAATTTTTTACTTGATAAAATACCATTATTTCTTATGAATAATCCATTGTCATCTGCCTTTATAAGTAAATTTGAAAGCAGCTGTAGGTTATACACAAGAAATTACAGTAAATAAATGTATATACATTTTGTTTAAAATTAATTATTTGTTTCTAAAAATTTAAATATTTTCATTAATAATGTAAATATTTAAATTTTAAAATACATATATAAAATCATGTATATGCCAAAAATTCATAATTATTTTTTATATTAAATATAAGCATACTTTGCTTTATTGGAGAGTTCAAACAGTTGCATTAAATTCCAAGTACTTCCAAACCTTTCAGTTCATCAGGAATGTACAGCCTTAGAAGAAATCTTAAACTATAAATAATAGTATTTCTTCTGTAATGATTTAATAATTTTAGAAAGACTGTTTAAAAGGTTTTTAGTGTTCTAAATAGTAGTATAGACTTCTTCTGTGGCAAGACACCACCTTTGATGGTCCAAAGGGTCAAAAGTATTGGGACTTAATTTAATTAATATAACTGTTTGAGCTTTCCAATAAGGCAGACTATAGTTAAATTTGATAACTGGTGATTAATCTTAATATAAACAATATATGTATCAAAATCGTAAACTAAGCCAATCAGAACAAATTTATACTTTTTCTGTCCATCGTGTGATAGAAAATTTAAAATTATGTTCTTAAAAAAATGTAAAATCTTCAATAAATTCTAAATATTACTACTGTATTATTAAATTAATTTAAATTTTATCAATTGTAATTGAAAAAATGTTAAAATAATCATTTTTAATAATTGAATTATACTTTTAATAAAACTTGAATTCTTATTCACATTCTAACAATTGTCTTTCGAGAAGTGTTCAAGGATCCCAATTTATTTAAATTTCATTCAAAATCTCTCTTAGAAGTTTTGGCATAATTGCTTCTGTAAAAATATGAAAGTAATTTTGACTAAACAGAATAAAGATATTTCTTTTAAAATTTCTGTTGTTTTAGTATGTTGAATTTATTAATTTTATAAATGGTTAAATATAACAGTCATTACTATTAATTTCAAATAAAATTAGAATGAGAAAAATAAACATTTCCATTGTCTCATTTATGAATGTTTGCTTTTCTTCTTCCTTTTCTGTGCTTAGATCTTCTTCTTTAGTATTTTTTCTAATTGTGGTTGCTTTCCTTGTACTACAGAAACAGAAACATCATTAATGAGTCTCCTAACATAAAAAAGAAGGAAACATATTCACATTAATTCTAAGAGAGAGATCTGTTGCTATTAGAAAAATAATTTTATGTTGATTAAGTCATGTGACCAAAATGCATAAGTTTTTTAAATTACAAAAAATAACTTAGTTTATAGCAGGTGGCCGGTCCAATAATCAGCTTATCACTGTAAAAAATAAATTACAATTAACTAAAAAATATAATTAATTTAGTTGTATTTTTTATTATGTTAACATTAAATTTTTGTAAAAGAAAAGCATGTTCTAAACTCAATTTGCAGTTCATATTCGTAAGTTTTATTTGGAACATACAAAATAAGACATGGTTAAGTGACCTTTGCACTATCCTGTATATTACTGTTTCATTCTGTAATTATTCTTTCCAATCTTTTTAATTGTTTTGTTAGTTTTAATGATAATGCATATTATAATACAATTGAAAATTCAAAAAGGGATATCTGGATACACTGCTGTATATTAAAATGGCATATTAGAGTTATCATAAGACCTTTGAGAATAGATCATTTCAAATGTTCAGCTGGAACCTCAGTTCATAATATAAAAATTATAACCTTACTCACTATTTCCAGTATATAATTTCAGTCCTGCACTAATGTTTTCTACACCCTTAAGAAATCTTCCTCGGGTTTTTACCATTGCAAATTTGAGTAATAAGAGATTCTAGTTCTGGAATGAGTTTAAAGTATTGAGAAATTTCAAATTAATTATCTCTTTAAAATAAATTTACTACATTTTGCATTAAATCTTCATATTTGAATCAACACATTTTATATTTTATAAACAGTAAACCTTTACTTTTGAAAACAAAACATGATCTTGGTTATAAGTGATATTATGTAAACAAGTGTTACAGTAACAGAAAAAGATTCATCATCATAGAATTTAACTTGAGTATAGGAGATATCCTAAAAGTGCTAACATATTTTGGAATTTTCATGGTTATATTCTATTAAATTATGATGTTTGACTTGAGTCTTTTTCTTTTATTTGGATATTTTCTTAATTTTATTTTAATAAATTATCATTTCTGTAGGATAGTTATAAAAAATAAATTTGTTTTTGGACCATTCAAGGACTATATGCTAATTTGCTATATTTAATAAAATGCTATGTCCTTGAATGTCCATTATCCACGGCTTAATTCTTAATAAAATCAGCTGACATGAATGAGAAATGGGGAACTAAAACCCCAAAAGCAATGAAGTTTGACCATCTAAACAATGGTGAAACAATATCAGGAAAGTATTTAAAGAAACTACTAATTTGCATTGTGTAAGACGTCAATGCATAGAATTTTCTTTATTAAAAAAAGTAGTTTTAAAGATGTTATTTTTACTAACAGAAAATAAAATTAATTCATGTGGATAGGGATCACTATGGGCTCCTAAGTTTTCTTCAGACCCAGAGAAAAATCTCCAGCTCCCTTTGACAAGGCACCCTTTCTCATTCCATCAACCGTGCTATCCACAAGAGTGGATAGCACGGTTGATGGAATGAGTTGGATAACAGGGTTGATGGAATGATTGGGCTTGGCCGTTAAGAGCAATGAGTTAGAATATACTACATAGAGTGGCAACAGTGACGCCATGTTTAAAGAAAATTGAATACACGTCCACCATTTTCCTTTTAGTCAAGGGAGCGTGCCACTCTTGGTGAAGGCAATGAGGTAGAATATTCTAACTCGTGTAAAAGTGTGCAGAGGAATAGTTTTAACCCTTGACAGATGGTGCGAGTCAAAAGACTCTACTTAGGTTTTTTAATTTTGAATAAACAAGACAAAATATTCTGTAGCAATAAGTTAAATGCATTTCAAAACATTCTTAATTTTACTTTCCTGTTATGTATACATAAAAAGGAAAGCATTGGAATCGTGTCAAATTTAGCTCTCAAAGTTTTTTTTTACAAATCTCCACATTTTGAGACCTGAACCCAAAAAAGTAAAACAAAAAATGGAAAAATATTCCATGTATGTGTGTGTCAACGTCTATAAGAAACAAAATTTGGCATGCTGGCTTATGTATAAGCAGTGGTGATATTCAGCGGGTTCGCACAGGTTCGGCCGAACCCTTTGTTAACATTTTCAAAGTTTTCCGAACCCGTTGTTAAACACACGTAACATTTCTCAGTGGTTTTTTCTTTTAAAAATATGTTAAAATATACGTATTATACTCTGTAACACTACTAAACTAGAGCCTTATACACCGTTCGCCTTGGTGCAACCTCCATCGACCGTTTCAATCTCGACTGAAACGAGGTTTAATCGCGATCGACTCAAGAGAGTTCTCGAAACTAGGTCCGGTCATACGAGAGATTCCACAATCCCACGCGCGCGACAAAATATAAGATGACTGCAGTACACGTGTCGGGCTATCGACAGCGAAATAAAAAAGATATTGTATTTCGAGAGACGATGACATCTGTCTATTATTATAATAATACCTAATGATAAAATAAATGATTTAGAAAAGTTTTTTCTTGAGAAACAGACTTTCTCTGATTAAAAAAAAAAGCTAATTTTTATGTTTATAAAATATTTTGAATGAAAATATTAAAATATGTACAAAATAAACCATTTTGAACACTTTTTTATTATGTATCAAAAAAATATAGTTATGGCATTAACAATGTTAAATTTTAACTGACTTAATTTTGCCAACGCATTTGTTTTTATTTATATGGGTATCTTAAGGTCAGTTTTTGCGCTAATGTTGCTAATGCACCATTTGAGCGAAAAAAATTTGTTAAAGAAAAATTTTCTGTTAGCAAACCCTTTGTTAAATATTTCGAATATCACCACTGCGTATAAGGATCATTGATGTCATTAAATTTTGGTGGTTAAAAGGTTGAAGGGGTGAAGAGATAAAGGGGTTTCATGTGTTGTATCTCGAGAGAGGTCTAACCAAATGAAGATGTTATTTATTATTAATATTACAGTTTTATATATATATAAAACTCATCACTACCCTCAAAATTAAGCTTTTTGCCATTAGGTAATAATTAAAAATTAAAAAGTTATAAGTAAAATTCTTTCAATTGTGAGACTGGTGATATTTATCACGTCTTTCTTAATTATCCGCAGTTAAAAGAGACCGAGATTAAAACATTTCACTTTATTTAGGCTATTTAACAATGCATTTCGGAGTAATAATTTTCCAATTCCTCTTCAGGCTCGTGACTTCAGTGTTTAAGTTTGTTGTCTACAACATAACGTACAAAAGGTTAGTTCATGTTAATATACTTTCATTTTCCAGAATGATGCGTATAGTGGCAATTTGTTCACATCCTAATGGTGCAGTTTCCACATATTTTTTTTTTTTTAACTCTCACTTACTGGCATGTTTTTATCTATTTTTGATGGGCAAATGCAACCCTTCTTCCATTTCCCACAATTATTAACTCCTTATAACCTCTTAGAAGGATTTTAACGTCAACAATGTGGTTTGTAACGCGACAAAGGTCAAAATGTAGTTTGTTTGTGAAAATATTTACAATGAAAAACTATAACTATAATAAAAACACAAGAACACTACTTATATTCTGCAAAATAAAAAAACACTGTCCGAAAAAAATCAACAACGTACCGAGTATGGCATAGATCAGACTGCCTGAGTACACTATAAATAAACAAATAAGTTTTGACTGAGAGTAAAGACCTTCAAGACCTGGTTCGTACTTATAAAAATATTAGCATTTTGAGAATTAAGTACTACGATTACCACTTTAAACTCTGATCTTACATTCTTTATAATAATTAAATAAAATTTAGAAAATGACTAATTTGAGATGAAATAATCTAGGTTTAGATGGGAAAATAGATTCTAAAGTATAATCCTGCCCAACACGTAGTACAGACTTCAATGTTTTGACTTAAAATAAAATGGCAGTTGATAGTACCCGTCGTTGCTACCAAGACTGCTGTATCTAAAATCAGTCACTCTATATATAGTATATTCTAGCTCGTTGGTATGTACAGTATTCAGCCCGCTTTTCATCTGAATTCTGGCCATAGCACTCGGTGCGTAGCTAGGGGAGGTGACCGTGAGAAAAATAAAAACTTAAACAAACCATCACAATGTTTTTCAACGATAAATCACTTAGGCTTGAAGCCATTTTAACCAAGTTATCCATATTAGATAATTTAATTTTACAGAATCTCTTGTGAATCTTATGGTCGCACTAAAGTTATTTCTGACAATTTGCGTATCAGTCTCTTCGTGTGAAAGGAGTTTCAGCAAACTAAAATAAAAAATTACTTGCGGTTAACAATGACCCAAACGAGACTTAACAATCTTGGCATATTAACAATAGAACACTAGTCGACACAAAATATAAATTTTGAAGATGTGATTTCCTAGTTTGCAGCTGTTAAAGCTAGAAAGAAGAGCTTTTAAGTGTTTGTACATAATATGTATATGAGAGTATATTAATTCTACTCTCATTCTTCTTTTGCCATATCCAACTTTCACTTTCATACATCAATGTGAAAGAATGTTTAATAAAACTGTACTATTATTATCATAATATTGTAACTTGACAATTAATGACACTTATTTGTATTAACTAAATAAAACCATACTTTACGTTTATCGCCGATTTTTATTAATTTTAACAGTTTTAATTCTTGGGGTGGCACCACGATATCTGCACCGGGTGCCACCCATGCTAGCTATCAGGGCTGTGCCGTGCTATGATGCAGTGATGCGGCCGCATCAGGCGGCATAAGCAGCGAAATCAAAATATTATTTGAACCATTCAATAATTAAAAATTTTTACGCAACGCTTTTCTATATTGATCTATGTTATTACGATATTGATGTATATTATTAATGATTTATCGCACGCCTCTGCTTAAGTGCTTTCGGTACCCTTTGATTTCGGTTTATGGTGCAAATGCATTGTTGGAGAGTGTCAGTCAAAAGGCTTTTGACAAGACAGCGCAAAGCTATTGTTTTTGTTTGTAATATGCACAGCGACTCTCCTAAAAGCTGAAGTGGCAATTATCATAAAAGACAATTGCACGTATTGATAGTTCTGCTTTGACCTTAAATTATTGACAATATTTGGCTTTAACGTTAGTTTGTCTCTATAAGTAGCGAGTGGCTGTTCTATGTTTAATCAGTGAATCAGATATATATCTGTATCAGTATAATATTTTTACTAGTTCAGTTTTTTTGTGTTTAAAAAGTAGATCAGGTAAGAAAATTATTGTTTTTTTACAGCAATTTTAGTTAATTATTATCATTAAAAAGGATTATGTTGTGACAATAAGAACTCGAATGAACTGGGTATATATCAGGTGCGGAACGTTTGCCTGTGTGTGATAGAGAGTTTTTAGGTAATATTGGACCACTTTTAAATTCTGTATGTGATAGAGAGAGTTGCTTAGGATATATTTGCATTTGCTACTTTTGCTCTATTTTTACTAAATTTATATACGTTGAAGTGGAGACAATAGAATGACAAGTTAAAGAAAGGCATATGTCAAAACGGCTGCTGGCATTTTCATGACGTCCCCCACTAAAAGATACAGTATTCGTTATCTCTTTACTAGCGGATGAACCCGGCGTTGCACGGGCAAAAAGTAACGATAGCGAAGATTAAGATTTTTAGATTATAGCCGATTTTATCCGTTTTCACCGGATGCAACAATTAGGTCTCCCTCTTCCGAGATTAATTAGAGAATTTTTACATGGTCTGAAAATATGTTGGATTTTCTGCAAAAACGCAAAAAACCGCATCTAAAATAGTACAGTAAAGCAGAGTTCTTTAAGATAATCCTTAACCTTGTCTCTCTCTCCTGCAGGGATAATTTCCAAAAATTCCTTCTTAGTGTGCATTCTCAAGGCGTGTCCTACTAAAACGCAAAAAATTGATTAAAATCATTATTGAATTTTAATAGAATAAATCTTTAGTATTCAAAAAGAATTTTTATTTAAATAACCTATAAAATAATAAATTTTCTTTATAATGGAGAATTAACTTGTTTGCTTTACTTGAATTACAGTATATGGTAGATTTTAAATTCTAAAGTCTAAAAAAACTTATATATTTCCAATTCAATATTTCGAATTTTCTATTTATTGTTTTTGGGTTGCCCAAAAGATGGAAATTATTAAAATATTTATTAATTGCCAAAATGTATACTATATATGTCACTATTTACTTTCTTTGTTTATTATTTACACTTTATACCGACTCTCTCCTCCTCTTCCCTCGAGGGGGGTTGAAATTTCCAAAAATCCTTTTTAGTGTGCATTTTCGTGACGTCCCCCACTAAAATGGAAAGTTTTTCCAAATTAAGGTTAATAAAACGCTACTTAAGAAGTTCAATAAGCCAAACAAAACTTAGAAATCTATCATTAATTTCTATTGAATCTACGGTAGTAGTAGATTCTTCTAGTTGATACTTGATATCATTATTTTAAAGTAATTTTTATTTTCAAAGTAAAAATAGTATTCGTACAATTTTTTAAATCACAACCAAAGGTATTTTAGAGAAAAACATTTAAGGGGCGGCATTTCGAAGACTTGCATCACACTGAGAAAATCTACGGCACGGCCTTGCTAGCTATGCCATTGTTAGCACTCCTTATGGGCAAAAGTGACCCCTAGACAGAAAATTCTGCTCTGTTCCTCAACCATATTTAGGTTTTTTTTTCTTAACTTTCCGCCGTGTGGGCACTAAGAGGGCCTCTTCAAGCAAGCCCATTATGGGTTCGGCCGAGGCCCGACATATCCGGTCGGACCACCCGTCCACCCCCAAAAAATTCTTGGGGGTTTTTCGACCCGTCGGATTTCGATCCCGGGTCTCCCAGAGCAGTAGGCTGCCACCTCATTACATTACATTACATTAAATTGAAAAAGGGGGAATCCTCCAGGCAACACTCAGAGGTACAACCTGGAGGTAGTAAAGAACGGAAGGAAGGAAGAGACATGGGAAGAGTAGGGGATGAGCGTGGGGCAGGGTAAAGTTGAGATCTCCAGGCGCCTGCATCGCATTTATTGAAGATAAACAGAATACAAAATGCAATAAACAGAGGAACAAACAATGCAATGGTGAACAGGTATGTACAAAGGAGCTGCGCGACGATGGTTTTATATACAATACAAGTAAACCGACAGATATTGATAACAGAAAATGGGCGTTGGCAGAACAGGAAAATACAGGTAGACGCGAGTACATTGAACAGTGGATTGGTCCGCGGACAATGAGACACAGTGACATAGACACGGGATTGCTGTAGCAAATACTGAGACAACACAAACTGGTACGTGACAAACTGCGAGAGGAAAGGATTTAACTTTTAACCAATCCAATGCAGAAGTAGACAGTTCAAGTGTACAGTGCAGGATTACGTTGATTAAAAGTCCGAACGTGCAGGATCCTAGCAAAAGTACTTACTGTTGACTGCTGTTAGTACACAAATATATAATAGAATATAGCAGGGGTGGCCAACAAGTCGATCGCAAAACCAATTTTGGTCGATCGCTCGCGATGTCTCGACTTAATGTGTTACACTTGTAAGTTGTAACCGAACGAAACGCGCAAACGTAACTGTAGTGATATCGGACCTCCTCGTTCTCCCTCAGATGCGGTTATGTCGATCCATGCGCAATCCATTTGCGTACAATTGTAAAAGGGAAATAAGAAATGTAGACAAAGGGTCGTAAAATCGAAAAAAGAAGGGACAGAGAGAGTAGGTCGGGACACGGTAGAGGGAAGAAGGTTGAAGTGGTGGTCCCCGAAAGTGACAACGTTGAGTTTCAATTTTTCTTATTTAAAATGTAAGTACCTTTTCTTCGTGTTTTAAATTAAATTGTGGCTTTTCTTTTCTATCTAAACTTAGTATGTATTTCACACCTCCCTCCCCCTCGCCATTTAGACCAGGGATGGGCAACGTTTTTGTGTAAGGGCCTCATTTCAAAACTTTTGAACTAACGCCGGCCACATACAAGATAAAAGAGGGGGGAAAATGCCGGTAAATCACAATTATTTATTCATTTATAATTATAAAATAGAATAGGTATACTTAATTTAGCTTCTAGAACTGATGTAAACGTAATGTATCAAAAATATTATGATTAAATATTAGTCACTGCTAGTTTTAAATTAGTTTCGAGGTGAGTCTGTTAGCCGGTTTCTCGTTTTAATTTTTACTAAATTGTGAAAATCCGACTCTTTTAAGAGAATTTTTATTAAATAAGTAGCAAGTTATATTTCTTTCATCATCATTTTCGTTGTTTCTCCCATTCTCACCCTAATGTCCGAGGAATAGACCCCGGATAATGAACTGCGTAATTCGTCCGTCAAGAAGGTCATCCCTAGGACGAAGTCGTCCGAGGCGACCGCGGAAGAAATCCCCTCTCCCCGGGATATTTGTTTGTTTTGCTAATTGGTCACACCGCAGACACCTTGTAATAGAGTAGTCTCCTGCGGGTGTCCGGTGGACGGAGACGGATGGGTGTTCCTGTATGGAGAGTAGACAAGAGGTCACCTACAAGGGCACCCTTACGGTGAGAACATTACCAAAAATGGTCAGTCATCTCCCCAGGTGATGACGACTTTAACATTAATTGGTCAAGCGATGTCTGCATTGTCGTCACCCATGACGGGGGAGACTGTCATAAATCGGGAGAAGTGACAGTTTGCGTCAGAAGAATCCCCGAGATTTCCCACGCTAAAAAGGTATAAAAGGGGAATGATCGGAGATCTCGAGGCGATCATCGGAGGACGCGATCCTCGAAGAAAGAAGACTACAAGCGTCTACTCTGGAAGGACTTCAAGGTTTCTGATCGCCGACCTAAAGAGGTAAATACTTAGATTGTTTTTACTTCACTCTCTCTCGGTATACTCGGGACTTAGAAAATATTGTCTCTCGGTATACTCGGACTTAGAAAATATTGTCTTTTACTGATATACCCGGAACTTTGTATTTATTTATCTGTTCCTTTGGATAGGACTTAGAATTATTTTGTGTTGAGGACCTTTGGTGGTCTCACTTACGGGATAGACGGACTTCGTTGTTCGATATTGTCGCGACTCGGAACTTATTATGATTATCGCTTTCATGTTGTTTAGGATTAATGTGTAATCTTAATGTATTTGTATTTATATTTAAGTTTATATTAAATATGTTATTCCTAATTTAATGACTCTTGATAAGTACTATCGACATCTCATCATGACTTCGTTACGCCTCCCACTCCTTTTGCCCTCCTATAGCCACTCTCTGACAGCGAGCCGGTAAGTGGGAGAAACTCTTATCCTATCCCCTCGGTTTGCACATATTGGTGTCAT